TTTTTTTAAGATCTGAAGACAGATTTGGGTCTGTATTTGTTTGGAAAAGCTAATGCAAGTGAGATGAAAAGTTGTTCATGGGGTGCATTATATTATGCTAGCAAATTCTACCTGCTTCTGGAAGTGTAATTTCCAGTGCCCTGTGGGAAATGAAAAGGCTTCTAAGAGCTCAGTCACACTTTGCAATTATACAAAATTATTACTTACATTTAAATCGGTCAACTGTACAAATGGACCAATTTAGTTTAAAAAAAAGAAAAAAAAAAAAAAAAGCTAGTGTCCCAGAATTTCTAAGGATCAAGTCATTCAGGTGTCATCCACAGAACAGTCAACTCTATGTCAGTCAGCTCCACAAAAGGATAATGAATGAATCATTTCCAGTCTTTTTGAGAATGTCACCTTGACAGCAACTTATAGCCAGGTTTTTGGGGTTTTGTTTTTTTTTTTTTAAAGACTCTCAACTATAAGTTAAAAAAAACAAAACGTTTTATAAGTGGGACTTCCCCACTCCTCCTCCCCAGCTCCAATAAAATTAGAAAAGGTCACAAAAAATATGTGGTCTTCATTCAAGGAGTAAAATGAGGATATTAAAGTTCCTGAATTTGTCATCTTGGGTTTTTGGTGACATTCCTGTGATAAGTTTGTTAACAGAGATGTGAACATATAACTGTTCACACTGATAGTAACCAGGAGACAGAATTGGGTCAGGGCAGGCAAAATTGTAAATATCTGAACTCAAGACAAAACCTAAACATTGTTTTAAATGAATTTACAGAAAATTACTATTGATGATGCAAGAAACTTTTTTTGTTTCTAAAGGAAAGTTAATTCAGATTTCTTGTGTACATAAAATGAAACTTTGAAAAAGTATGGCTGATGTACGCAATTCATACATGAATGAATAAATATGTAGCTTGGTTATGATTGTTGTTGGAGTTATAATTTTTATTTTCTTAATGTCTAATTTGCAGTTCGTAAGGTTTTTTTTGTTGTTGTTGTTTGTTTCTTCTAATGTGGAAATATGAGAAGAACCCATGGAGATGGGCTATATATTCAGGTGCTGTTTCCTTAGGGAGCTGGCTGGACAGAATTTATGGGAGTCTTAACCAAGTTTCTATAGCAATAACAGGACAAGAGAAGAACTTATAGAACATGTAAGCATCCTTTGGCTCTGCTGAAAAGGTATAGGAAGACATAATATCCATAGATTAAGACTTTCTAATTTAGGATAATTTCTCTGCAAGCAAAGAAAAAAAGGAAGATTTTAAAGAATCATTTACATGCCCCCTTCTCTATAATTTGGATCTTTTGCTTTTATTGTAATGAAGCTTTAGGGAGGGAAAAAAATGTTCTTTTTTTATCACTACCTGCATCTATACCATCACCAGTCCTTACAAATACACCCTTTCCTCTGTTGTGTGCAAGTCCAGTATTTGGATGTTGTCTGCCATATCCGTGGCCCCTGCACATCAATAACTATTTTCCTCAACATTTTATAATGGACATTTTCAAACAGAGAAATTTGAAAGGATTTTTGCAGTGACCACCAGTATACTACCTAAAATCTACAAAACAATATTTTGTTTTAGCATACAATTTATCTATCCACCCAGCCATCCATTCTAATTTTTATTAATTTTAAAACAAATTGCAGACATCATTTCACATCTCCTTAAATGCTTCTGTATTCATGTAAGTTAGGGGGTGAATATTTGTTTGCAACCCTTTTACCCTTTTTGGATGATTAATGACATACACCATCTTAAATGTACTTGTTAATGAATTTTGACAAATGCATACACTTGTGTCACCAAACCCTTATCAAGATGCAGAATACTGCCCCACTTCCCAGAAGAGGCTTAAGCACATTCCAGTCAATTTCTGCCCACCCATCCCCCACAAAATCACTGTTTTCATATTTTTTTCCCCATAGATTAGTTTTGCCTGTTTTAGAACTTCATATAAATGGATTCAGCTTGTAGTCTTTGTATCTTATTTCCCTCTGCATATTTTTTAGGTTCTCCATATTGCTGTACGGAGGAGTACTTCTCAATAAATATTGATTAGCTGATTTTTATCAGTGTTAATTAAACAAGGATTTCAGTTGATTAAATGTTTTTAAATACAACCATTGTAGCTTGAATGTTGCTTATTAAGCCCTTTTAGAACTGCTGTTTTTTGATGACTCAATAAAGGCGGGGCAAGTTTTGTAGAAAAAGAATTGAGGCATCATCTTTTTTAAATTAAAAAGATATCCAAGGTTGGTCAGAATTTCAGCACGTGCAACAGGCCAAACACTAACTGGCCTCAAGCCTCTGCCTCTCAGGTGTACGTGTAATGTTTAAGTGGTATTTTTCACAGGAACGTGTTTTCTATACCATTCACTTACAGCTGGAAGCCTCTACTCAGAGGCAGACTACAGTGTGGTGAGGGGGAATGTCCATATTTGAATTCTTTCAGCAGAAGTTCCCCATTCTCTAGGGAGTAGGGCGCTGAGAATGGGCTTCAAGGAAGTGGAGGACAGAGCTTCCACTGAGCGCCTGTTGCCACAAACGTGACTGGCTTTTTGGGGAGTCCCAATTCTCTGGAAGAGCCCCAACTGAAAATTTTTTAAAGAATCCCCTTTAGCCCACAACTGCCTTCCCTAAAAGTGGGTTCCCAGGCTCAGAAAGGATGAGGGACTCTGTGCTATTTGACATAAGAATTTTATATTTTATTTGTGATTTGATATTCCTATTAAGATCAATCAGGTGATTTTAACTTCTCAGAAATCTACATTCTCTTTCCTATTAATTTAAATGGGTTAAATTCACTCATGGATTGGAGTTGACCGCACTTCAGCTGAAGGCCTTGGTTCCATTGCGTGTGTGTGTGTGTGTGTGTGTGTGTGAGAGAGAGAGAGAGAATATGCATGCAAGGCCACGTCAACCTACCTTTATGGATGTTTTAAAGCATCTTTTGTTTAAAACCATTACTGAGTCTTCCCTGGTGGCCCACATCTGCAATCCCAGCTACTCAGGAGGAATAAGGAGGACTATTTCCAGTTCCGGCAGGCAGGACAAACTAGAGAGCACTTCTCTCCAAGAAAAAATAACAAAAGTTTGCTTGGGGCATGGCTCAAATTGTAGAGAGTTTCTTTCATGGCCCTGGGTTTAATACCTGGTACTGCAAAGAAAAAAAAAATCATTAAGCATCCTAACACTGAGACTGAGGGTAGAGCTGAGAAGACATTGAATAAAAAGTGGGTGAAACTGATGTTTATGAGAGTAGTCTGCATAGGATTACTGTTGACAACTGGATGCCTTGCATTTAGGATAACTGGGGGGAGGGAAGAAATGCCCAGGTGGCTGCTGCCAAAGCCAGCTGCTAACATGACCAGCTGTAAACTTGTTCTGCTCTTGTCCATGTCTTTCTCAAATATTGATTCACTTTCTCATAAATGATTACCAATATGGGACACATTGAGAGGGCACCTTTCTCAGTTCTTAGACTATTAAAATGCCAAGATTGCTAAACCATACTGGGTGAACCAATGTAGAGATCAGTTGCCTGCTTTTTTCCCCCTCAGAGTGATATATGGCACAAAAAAGTTGTCCATATCGAGTCTCTCATCAAATGCAGTAAGTAGATACCACAAATACCTTCCTTTTTATGCTGTCATAACTCAGCATATTGGAAACTATTTTCCCTAGATCCTCTGAACCCATCATGCCTCACAGTCTGGGAGGGCTGAAGCCCAAACTAACAATCTAAGGGCTAAAACTTTGCTCACCCCTTAGTGAAAATGTTTTCCTAAAGAGCTCCCCTTAAACTCAACAATCCCGCTGGGAGAGGGGTTGGTAGAGGCTATAGCCAGCCCCTGAGTTTCCTTTGACCTTGATTATGACCAGGAGTGTCGCTGTTAATTTCGAGGCCTGCCTCAGGTGGAAAATAGCATCGATTTTCACTGCCACCCCAGATTTTCACTGCCTGCTGCTGCAGGCAATGGTGGTGAGGTCCTTTCCAGGCCCACCTCTTGCCATCCAGAGAGCTGCTCGGAGGCCGCCTACAGGTGCAATCCCGGCACTGCGGCCGAGCGGCGGGGCGGGGGAGGGTGTCGAAGCCCACCAGCATCTCTGCCTGCCATTCCCAGGGCTTGAGCAGGGCCCAGGCATGTCCACCGCCCACCACTCACCGCCCTCTCCCCCACCCTTCGCTGTTTCCCCGAGACTCTACCCTGGCGCGGTTTGGAAAGGAAGCTGGGAGCTCTCTGAGGCTCCGCAGACTCGGATTTGGGAGGGGGTGGCGTAAAGCCGAGGCTTTCCCTAGAATCTGCGGCAAGCCTGGCTCCGGGAAAGTTCTTCAAAGTTCCCAGCAGCGTCTGCCCAGGTCGCCTCCGCCGAGCGAGCAGACAGCGGCAAGTACGCCAGCCTCGCCGCCGCCGCCGCCTCTGCCACCGCCAGCAGAGCGCTCAGGGCACCTCGCTCACTCGCTCGCTCGCTCGCGGGAAGCCGGCCGGGCTCCTGGCTGGCAGGCCCTCCTCCTGGGGCGAAAGCCGCAGCTGACGCAGGCGGCTCGGAAGGCGGAAGCAGCTCTCTCCGGCAGCACTTCGGCGCCTACACCTGGGACCCGCACGGGCGGGTAGGGGCGCCCTGCCCTGGGCGCCCGAGGGGGCGGACCTCTCTGAGGCACCCTGGGCGTCCCAGGGCAACGGCCCCTTCAAAGTTCCTCCCCACGTTCTTCCTTCCTGCTTAGCCTGCCGTCCTGAGAATCGGGGTCTGTGTGTGGGGCCCCTGACGCCCATTCCACCCTAGCTTCCCGGAGCCCCCAACCCTTTCCAAGTTCTACCCTGTCCTCTCCTCCCCATCGACCAGGAGGGGAGGGGCGTGGTCAACGAAGCCTTGTTGACCCCGCCCCTCATAAATATTAATAACTGCGCATGCGCTTTCCCGGCGTGCGGGGTAGAGGTGGCGAGCCCCGGCCGCTGCTCCCAGACGGGCTCTCCGGGTCCCTCTCCGAGAGCCAGGCGGGCACGCGTCATTGTGTTACCTGCAGCCGGCCCGCAAGCTAGGCTCAGGTTTTTTTTTTTTTTTAAATCTCCCTTCCCTCCCCCGCTTTCTATGCAGCTGATCTGAAAAGGAATAAAAGGCTGCGCATAATCATAATAATAAAAGAAGGGGAGCGCGAGAGAAGGAAAGAAAGCCGGGAGGTGGAAGAGGAGGGGGAGCGCCTCAAAGAAGCGATCAGAATAATAAAAGGAGGCCGGGCTCTTTGCCTTCTGGAACCCGCCACTCTTGAAAGGGCTTTTGAAAAGTGGTGTTGTTTTCCAGTCGTGCATGCTCCAATCGGCGGAGTATATTAGAGCCGGGACGCGTCGGCCGCAAGGGCAGCGGCGACGGCAGCACCGGCAGCAGCACCGGCGGGAGCACCAGCGCGAGCACCAGCGGCGGCGTCCCGAGTGCCCGCAGCGCGCGGCACAGCGATGCGGTCCCCACGGACGCGTGGCCGGCCCGGGCGCCCCCTGAGCCTCCTGCTCGCCCTGCTCTGTGCCCTGCGAGCCAAGGTAGGAGCCTCTCGCCAGGCCTCCCTCCCTCCCGGCCGTCTTCCCCCTTCCCTCGCGGCGCCCTGTACGCGGGCAGATGGGCACCGAAAGGGGGCTCTAGAGCCCTTGGGCGCCCGGCTCCCGAGCCTCTCAGCCGGAGAGGTTGCACCTGGGCCGAAAGCGCCAGGCCCCCGACCTCCGAAGGGTAATTCTTCCAGGCGGGGCAGGGTGTGTTCGTTCTACTCTTGCCCCGTCGGGGCAGTCGTCGGATTTTTCCCGCACTTGTGCATTTTACGCCCCCCAGTCACGTCGAGTCCTTGAACCTAGTTTTGCAAAATTACTTTTACTTGGCGCCTAGGGCTGGTCCCGACCGGCGGGGAGGGAGTCGCCACCTCCACCCTCGAAGAAAACTTTCTCCCGCGCTGACCTTCCTTCCTCCCTCGCCGGCAGGTGTGCGGGGCCTCGGGTCAATTCGAGTTGGAGATTCTGTCTATGCAGAACGTGAACGGAGAGCTACAGAACGGGAACTGCTGCGGCGGCTCTCGGAGCCCTGGGGACCGCAAGTGCACCCGTGATGAGTGTGACACGTACTTCAAAGTGTGCCTCAAGGAGTATCAGTCCCGCGTCACGGCCGGGGGGCCCTGTAGCTTCGGCTCAGGGTCCACGCCTGTCATTGGGGGCAATACCTTCAACCTCAAGGCCAGCCGCGGCAACGACCGCAACCGCATCGTGCTGCCTTTCAGTTTCGCCTGGCCGGTAAGTGACCCGATCAGGGAAGGAAGGAGGTCGGCAGAAGTTCGCACCCCCGCACGGGGCTGAGCCCTAATTTTCTTCTGCGAGAGGAATTTAAAAGGCCTTGGCTTGAAATTCGGCGCTAACTGGGGAGACTTATGGGGTGATGGGTTACAGAACTGAGACTCTAGCCAGATCAGACCGGGCGGGTCCCATCATCTGTGCTGTGCTTAGACCACAGAAGTGGGGACCCTTGAGAGGACTGAGAGGGAAAAGTCCCAGAAAGGCCAGTTTAAACTTGCAACTTGAAAGCCCTGGAATAATTCCCTGCTTCTCCCTCCCCCTCCCTCCCCCCACAATCCCCCGCCAGGAGGTCATTGTAGGTGATCTCTTGCTTAACTAATTAAACCTGGTGCGCCGTGGAAGGCGGCTCCGCTCAGTTCAGGCCTGCGAACACGGTCCAAGTTGGCACCCTCTCCTTTCCCGTGAGCTAACCAGAGGGCGGGTGTGTCCTTCCTGGAGGGCGTCGGGGAGCCGGTTTCCCGCTGCTCCCCGGAAGATTTTGGTGTGCGCAAGGGCTCTTTCCCAGCTGGGCGCAACAGCCGGGGGCGGCCGCCGCTGGAGTGGGAGGTGGTCTCCCGGCCTGGGCTGAGGACCGCGAACCCACCCCCCTCCACCGGCTCCTTCCTGCCACTCCCGCGCCTTGTAGCCCTTGTGGCCTCATTTCCAGCGGTTCCCGGGGCTTTGGAACAGCTGTGTTTGCAAACTTCCCCGGGAAAGGGCGGGCGCACTCTCTCGTCCGGCGGGCACACAGCCCCCGCAAGCCCTTCGGGGGCCGTGCCAAGGCTTGGAAAGGGCTGCCTGATGGAGGTAGTACTTTTGGGTGCAAGTGCATGGACCCTTATATCCCTCTGACGCCCCCAGGGCAACTCGAGGCTTGGGCCCAGCTGGCAGACTCTGCAGCAAGGCCCTTGCAACATTCCAATATGGGTGGAAGGAAGATGGGTGCGATTGCAGAAGGAGAGGAAAGGGAAACGTTGGGGGTGTGCCCGCTGTCCAGGAGGCGTGACTCACTGCCAGGACTGGGGCTTGGCCAGGCCTGTGCTTGGAGAGTGGGTGGTAAGAGGGGGGAGCTTGGTGTCCCTGAGGGTTGCTTTCCGCCACGTGCTCTGGTGGGGTGCGCTCTACTGCCTCCTATCCGCGGGCTCTGGCTGCGATTAGTAACTACGCTTCTGGGTCTCACTAGGTCTGTGTGTGAGGCGAGGGGTCCATTTTTACAGGAGCTGGCATTGTGAAGTATCCTCTGCCGTGGTGGATGAGATAAGACGGTTATCAAAGCCACGCTATTAAAATCTTATTTAAAAAGCAAAAACCCGCTGTAACGTTCTGTTGAGATATAAGGGCTGTTTCTGTAGTGGGATTTCGCTTTTACAAAGAGTGTTTGTCTTGTTAATCCCCTATTATGGAGAACTTTAAGCTAAAGAGGCTGGCCACCTTTAAATCTGGCTGGGCCCAAGCTGATGGTGAATACCGACTGCCCTTGAACTGTATGTTTGGAGTTGAGGAGGAAGGGGCCTGCAGGTGGTTCCACCCTCCAGAGGATCAGTCTGGAGCCCCTCGCTTTTCACAAGACCATAAAAGGAATCTTATTAGTGATGTGAAAAAGCAGCAGGCCTGGCTGAGGTTCATTCTGAGAGTAGGGTCAGAGGATAGCTTGCATGAAAACAGGGAGGCTTCCTCCTCCTGAGGCTGGCTGGGGAAAAGTGACCTAGAAGGTGTGTCTGTCTTTTGACATTTGGCAGAGCGGAAATGGTGTGAGAGGGCAGGGGAGGCGATTGATTTGCTGGTGCTCCTCTGTGCCCCACAGGTCACCAACCATGAAATAGACTCTCTGCTTTTCTAGAATGGGGAAGACCGCCAGGGCAACGCTGAGAATGTGGTTCTTTTGAAGTTTGGCCAAATGTGTGTATCACTCATAAACAAGTCTCCACCCTGCTGCCCCAAAAAGGTCTCCTGTGAAACATACGCTGTACTTCCCAAGAGAAATTGGAGTTTAGGTGTATTGTTTTAGTTTATTTTCCTGAATGTGGTTAGAGAAACACCACAGTCTGTAACTTTCAAGAATGACTCTATGCTGAGTGTAAACTTCAGTGAAAGTTTAGCTGAGCGAGTAAGTGTTGAAGTAGGTAGTATAGTCTTATTCAGTTTTAGTGTTTATTCAGCATTAGTGTTTTAAAAGCTGGCTTCTGGAGGTTGGGGATGTAGCTTGGTAGCAGTGTGCTTGCCTAGCATTTGCAAGGTCCTGGTTTCTAATTCTAGCAGCGGGAAAAAAATGATTTTCTTGAATAGCTGAATGTGGTATAGAATTCAAGAGGAGGATACATGGTTAAAAAACAAAAACAGCAACAAAAAAAATCGCAAAACTCTAGATTACCTTGGACTTGCAGCCACAATTGGCCATTTTCTCCAGTCTTCCTAAATTTGCTGACATAGGAAGAGCTGTGGCTGGGAAGCAGGGGTAGGTCAGTGTAGAAGGTCATGTAATTCATGTCTTTTGTTGGAAGTATGACCCCCATCAAACAACGGTTCATGTTCTGGAGAGGAAAAGTAGGAAATGATTTGGTCAGATATGAAATACAATCCACATTCCAGAGTGCATGTGAGAAGCTCTGTAAAGGTGGGCCAGCCTGCCTGCCTTCCAGCCATATGGTATCTGGTTACACCCACTTGATGTCTACTGATGTAGCCTTGGTCCTGTAGCTTTTCACCAGTGGCTTCTAATTGCCCTACCATCTCTGCTATAAGGGGGCTTAACTTGAAGGAACTAGCCTGATTTATGATCCCCAAATGGGGGACTGAGTGATAAGATCATCATTATGAGAGGTAATTGGGCTTAACAAGAAATGATTTGGGAATAACCATTTATAAATCACTGAAATGGTTAATTTGCACCTCCCAAAGTTAGTGTTAAATCCTAGTCGTACCTGCTTATTAAAAATGTGTTAGTGTAATTACCACTCATTTTTTGGAACCCCTAAGAACCCCACTTTGCTGTATGGCTGCATTGGTGGCCCTAGAATGAAGTGAATCTAGAGAAAACTTGGGAAAACAATGAGTATGTGGCTTCATACTTAAATACCACTGACCCCATGCAAAGGCTTGTTGAGGTCAACTTTATTATTTCAGAAAAATCCAATGAAATGTGATTCTTACTATAGGGATGTCAGCTTTGGCCCCTTCACACTTCTGGCCTGAATGACCAATTGCCAGTGGGCTGAACAGATTGACTGTCACAATGTTAATTGTTGAATGTAATTGACTGGTCCTTGCTTTTATGCCTTCTGCCACCTTTTTCTTTCATAGATGTGGTGTGGATACATGAAAGGCAGAGGAATAGGATTCACGTTCCAGCTGGCTTTCTACAGCCAGTATTTGTGACCCACTTGTGCGGCTAGCATTTCTATAGAGCACTCATGTGCATGTGTACTTTCGTGCAAGGGACTTTCTGTTTGTGGAGAAAACACCCTTTACTCTAAGAAATCTACCTCACACTAAAGTTGATGGAGTAGCATGTCTCTGTTGCAAAAACTGGCTTGGGGAAAAGTGAAGCTGTGCTGGCTTTTAAAGGGCAGCTCTAAGTGTCTGTAGAATGGTTGCTCCCCACGTGGAATTCCAGGTACTTGGTTTCTGATATTTTTTCTTGCAGGTGTAACCTTCTACGTTTTCTTCCTCCTTATTTTGTTTCTTAGCAACTTAAACCTCCAGTACTTAAATGAGTTTGCAACCCGCCAGTTCCACACCCATAATTCTACAGGGGCTTAAACCATTTGTAGAAAACAGTGAAGCTTTTGCCTATTGGAACTGAATAGGTAAGGAGGAGAGGCTACAACAACTTAATAGGCACATAACCTCCCACAAAATCAGCAATCTGAATGCTGCCTACAATCTTTATAGCAAATAGTGGTGGTTTCTGGGACTTTTTGGATAGAAGGCATACGGGAAGTTTAGTGTGGAGAAAAAAGTTGTTCATGAACAAACAAGGCCACGGCAATAAGAAGTCTTCATTTCACGTTCCTGATTTGAGAACAGGAACGCAAGCAGAGGCCTTGGCTGAATTCTTAGCAGCAACTAGTCCCATTGTAAAGGGAAAAAATTGACACCAATTCAGGCTTTTAAGATTAGTTAAGAATTAGTTAAGAATGCATAATCTCTGAGTATACAGTTAGCTTCATAATTCCTAAAGGCAAGTATTGGTGAGAATTCTCCCTTGGGAAACTTCTGTGTCTCACCTCCCCACACACACAAGGCTAGGATCCAAGGCAGCTTACAGAAGGGATATTTAACTCCAAAACATTTTAAAATATATTTTTTAAAAAATTAGAACTAAATTTAACTTTTTTCTTTTGAGTAATGGAAAAATGTATTGGAAGGCATGGGAAGTGAAGATTCTAGAATGGTAGTGGAGAGAGGTCTTGGGTTCCAGAAGTGTCACCTTTGCTGAGTGGCTATGTCGTGGCTTTTTGCAAGTTTCTGATCACTGCATGGACTACAGCAGCCTCTTGGCCCTGATTTTTATGGTGTCAGGGACATCTCTCATTGGTGTGGTGCATGTTCAGGGAAGAAATTCCCCAAGGTGGTTCCCAGTGGTTAAGAGGGGTCTATAAATAGGCAAACATTGAGTCCTCTACCAGCTCAGCCCAGTTTTTATGCACTTTTGGTAAATAAGTAGAAAGGCTTCTTGTTCGGGCTTGCTCTGTGTGAACAGGACCGTTGTGCTTGGCTAGCTTCTCGGTATTCTATCTATTAACCTCACCACCCTTTTGTAACCAGTGCATTTTATTATCAGTGGGATGCCTTTCAAACAGGTAAGGGTAATGATGGGAAAGGGGGGTAGGGGCCTCTCATAGAGAGTCTCAAATCTGTATATGAGCTCTGGGGCTGCTTGGTGAGCCTTTGAGGTAGGCTTTGATGAGAAAATCACCCTTTGTAACCAGATCAGACTCTATTGACATGTCAAGCCCTGCAGACTTGATTGCTTTCTATGACTGGAGCCTCAGCTTGCATGGAATAGGGTAATTGTCTTCTTTTCATCTCTCACCTTGCCAAAACCCTATGAGATGTGAATTGTGTGTAAGTGTGCCCACACATGGACTCTTGAGAGCATTTTTTTGTTTAATATGTTTTGTGACTGGAATATTTTATACTTTGGCCACCCAGACGCGGGCAGGACAATAGAGTTGGCCGAATTGACTGAAACGAGGATTAAAGAGGAGAATGGGGCCTCCCCCAAAATACTGCTAATACAGGACAAGCAACAGGAAGCAACAGTTGAGTCAGCAGAGCGCAGAGCCCCTGATAGAGCCGGGGTCGACTGGCTGCACACAATGGCCGTGTTGGCACGCTGGGCATTCCCAAGATGTGCGTGCCTCCGGCGGGCCCGCTTCGCAGTGGCCTGGGGTATCAAGCGCTGCACACGTGCTGTTTGGATGGCACTTTGTTTGTGTCCCTCAGCCTGGCAGGAGGAGAGGCAGCCGCTTCTCAGGGCTTGGTTTGGCTGCCACTGTTGCCAGGAAAAGGAAGCTCCCAGCTGCCAACACAATTACCTTTGTTTCTTACATCCCCCCTTCTTAATGTGGCAATTAAGTGCTTGCTTCTCTGCCCAGTGCCAAGGTAACCACCATGGAGTGGGGCAGGACACAAAACACAATCCTGAAACAGCAGCCCAAGAGTGGAGGGTGGGAGAAGGGGCTGCTGATCCCAATCTGGGGACAGGATCTGGTGGCCCTGGTATGCCTTTGGGGGCTTTGATGCCAAGACTCCTCTAGGTAAAATTGAATGGAAATCTCTCCAAAAGCAGTTGTGAAAGCTGACCAGTCCTTTTCTATGGTGCATAAGAATGAGAACCAGCTGCTGTGTTGCCAGATGTCCTTGGGCTTGGAGCTGGGCAGAGGCAGAAATGACTCACTGTGCAAATCCAAACTGAAGATCTGTTAACTACCCACCCATCCTTTGTACATTACCCCTAGACTGTTGTTCTGGGAAAACTTAACAAAACGATGAAATCCAGGTGACTTTCCTAAAAGTCTTAGTTTTATTGTTTGAAACCAAGAAAACCCACATACTTGCTTTTTTGTTTTTGTTTGGTAGGGGTTTTTTTGTACAGATTTAAGATTGAACACATTTGCCTTTCTAAGCCTCCTAGAACTGGAGACTCAGCTTCTGGGGGATCAGATTTGCAGCAGCCAATTCGGTGTGACTTGGTCATAGTGGATTGCTGACTTGTGGCCTGGCTCCTGCTTTGATAGCATGAGGTGCACATAGTCTGGAATCTTAGTGTCTAGTTGCACATTCAGGGATGTACAGAGGTCAGGCGTGGGCCTGGGAAAAATTAAAGTTACCTAGCAATTAATAATCATTGCTAAATTATCTTGATTGTTGATCTATAGTGTGGGGATGGAGTGGGATGTAAGAATGCCTCCTAATAGGAACCTTGGAGGGAGTCCTTTTCTCTGAAGACTGGGCACCCATGCCTCAGACCTGGAGCCCTAATCCCTTCTCTGAAACAAGGGAGAAGAACAGTCCAGGTTTGGTTGCAGTCACTACAGCCCATCCCCGCCCAGTCCCCCACACCACCACTTCTGAAAAGGAAGGCACTTGATAGGAAATCATGACACCAGGCCCCTAGAGCTGTGGGTAGCGTTCTTTTCCCTCAAGCTGGGGTGGTGTTGGTCAGTGACTTCTGAGTCAGATGAGGCTAGTAGATGCTCAGTCTTCCCAGTCTTGTGCAAGACCTAAAGATGCCTTCTGCCTTGAGTATTAAGCGGACTTAATACTGCCATGCCAGCTCAGTCTGGGAGCACCTTCCCTTGCAGTGGCGTTTATGGGTATTATGCGTTTAGTGCTTGTGCAAGTCTGTCAAAACTCTTGGTATCAATGCATTTAATCAGAGGATTAATTACAGCAATATTGTTGGAGTGAAGGATGTGGGCCTCAACGTGACCAGCAAATGAAGGGCTTAATTATACAGAATCAGCCACACATCTGGCCTCATTTCGACTTGGCTCTTGCCTCAAATCAGTAGAGAAATATAATTTCTTACTGCTGTCCGGGAAGAGTCCTGTAATTTGTAGGAAGTCCTAGGAAACTTAAAGAGGCTGTAAATAAGGTGTAACTTTCACTAATAAAATATTAACGACGACAACAGTGTATTTGGACCTATGACCACTAACAGGAGAGGGCTGGGTATGTGCCCTGGCTTGCCCGGTTTTGCTTGCTTTTGTGAGCATTTTCCCACAGTTATCAGTGAACGAAATGGAATCCTGCTCTGCTTTGAGTATGAAACATATTTCGGCTGAGTTCCAAGGCAGGGTCTATCACAAGATATTTTTATAGTCAGAGACAACCTGCTGTGTCACTGTGAGAGCAGTGAGCTTGCTTTGATTTATGAATGAAACTTTTTTCACCCTTTCCTTTTTTTTATTTGCCTTTACCTTGTTGCTACTGTCTCTTCTGTGGTTGTACCACTGGTGGCACAGTGTTAGCTATGCTAAGATTTCCAGTGCATTGCTTTCTGACAGTGGCCAAGCCAGGCTGTATAAATGGGTTCGTGTTCTTTTCTCTCCACCTGCCATGGGTAGATTTCTCCAGCCCTGAGATTAGAACCCTGTATTAGAACCCTGGTGTTTGTGAGACTCACCTCATTGCACATTGAAAATGAAAATTTGAGTAAAAGCGGGAATTGCTAATAGCTCGGGTGGAACTCTGAGATAAGCCTGAAAGATAAAAAGTGCCTTCAGTATAATAGTTGGCATCTCGCCAGTATCCAGGGAATTTGTTTAGTTACTGGACTCTGATTATTCCTGGAATGTTAGATCTTATTGACAGATAAGTTCATCAATAAATATAACCCATGGGTGTGTTGGTGATCTCTCCCTTTGTACTTTCTGCCTCAGTCTGCCCTCCGCCCCTCCACCCAAGTTAGGTTACTGCCTTTGTCTTAGAAAGTCTTTGCACCCACCCCCTCTTGCTTCCTAGAGTTACCTGATACTTGTGGGAGCCAGGATGGTCTCACACAGACAGGGCTTTCAAAAGGGTTCTGAAAAGGAAAAGGGGGACTCCCTGGGGACTGCCCCACCAGGGCCCAAAGTGTAACTTTAGCAATATCCCCCTTGGTGCAAATACCTGGATAAGTTAGCTTAGAATAAATTCTTTGTGTGGGTTTTTTTTCTCATGCACTAGGATTGGGGTCTGAAAAGTTTTGGAAAACTATATGCTAAGCATTCCCACATACAAAGGTGGCATTTCCTGATCAGGACTTTGGGCTGCCTGCATGCATGTTGACTCTAGTGATCCCCTGCCAGGTGAAAGGAGTCATTTGTCAATCTGGGAAGAGTGCTGAAGAGGAGAGGGGAGTTAGTCTGGATTTAAACAGTGGGCCAATAGGATTTCACTTCGACTTTATAGTTTGGTTTGGTGGGGCGTGCAGGGAGGCCAAGAAAATACAGCCCCTATTTCAGAATCACTAAACTTTGCTTATCTGTCTTGCAGAGGTCCTACACTTTGCTTGTGGAGGCCTGGGATTCCAGTAATGACACAGTTCGTAAGTATCATGCCAGTAGACTCGTCTCTGAATGCCTGTGGGAGTGCAGAAGTGCGGTGGGTGGCAGACCTTGGGGAGCAGACCTGTCCCAGTGCTTAGGAAAATTTCCACCACTCCCTGCCATCTGTTTCGCCCCAACCCAGGGCCAACCTGTCTATGGAGGAGTCTGTTCCTTAACTTCCCTAGAACTTTAGCTTGGAATATTAAGTAGCCAGAACAGACTCCCTGTTAACTCAGGCCCTGAATAAGGGACCTAGATTATCTCTGGATAGAGATCTTAATGGTTTTACAACTTTAAAACCTTGTAGACTGCTAAAAGATCAAAGTAGTGACTTTTTAAAAGTCCATTTAAACTTTAAGTGAGCATTTAATCTCTCATCAGAAAGATAAAGCCATAAAGGTGGCGCTGGGCTCTAAAGACCGACCTTGAATTTCACTTGGTGGGCAGGTGAGCTTCAAGTTTGTCTGTGTTTCCCACACTGCACACCACAAACCTTCCATTGAAGCAGAATTTCAGAGGCCCACAGCTATGACCTGCTTTATCCCCCTCTGAAAGATGGCTCTGTTTTCAGAGCAGGTTGCTTTTCAGTCCTGTGAAGGGGTAGGTTTTGGTGAAGAGGCCATAAAGGTGTGCATTCGGAATGGGAGTGGTCTGCCATAGGCAGGAGTCTTGCTCTTTACTCACAACTTAACATGTTTTCCCTCACAAGGCAAAACAACCAGTTCCCTTTTTGCCATCAGGAGTATGGATTGTTGTCATCAGAAAACTTAATTCATGCTGAAATCTCAGTCTGTGTATGAGGAAGAGTAGATCCAACTTTGCCCTCTGTTCTTGGAATGTCTCATGGCTTTTTTTTTTTATTCTTTTTATTCATATGTGCATACACTGTTTGAGTCATTTCTCCACCCTGCCCCCTGTCTCATGGCTTTTGCTTCTCCATCTTGCCCTTTCTAGGGTTTTCACTGCAAATAACATCTTTCCCACTTGTCTTGCCTTTTTCACTGACTTGAGGGTAGTGAGTGCCTAGCATGGGTGCACTAAGGACTGGATATATGCTTGGTGGACAGTTTTCAGTGTGGCTAGCCCGTTGGGCCTCTTAAGGACACAGTCTTTGCTGAACCCTGGACTGCTGTACTCAGCCATTTGGGGCATCCTTTTGCTTTGGCATCTTCAGTTGGCTAGTACATGTCATCCCTGCTTGTGTGTGGAAGTCCAGGTCCTGTGTAGTCCTCCCTGAGATCCTCCCTTGTCCTACTGTGGAGGGTAAATACATGTTGGAGGGTGGTGATGGGGCAGCTGTGTCAGCTTTGGTTGTGTCTGATGCTAGTCAGGGTCATGGATACCTGTTTGTTCTCCCCTTCCGCAAGCATGGAGGATCATGTGACTGTTATGTCACTGTGACCTGTTTGCCACACTAACTAAGCATTAGGAAGAGGGGTGGGGAGAAATGGGCTCTTCAAATCTTGTGCACAGATGGGAGTTCTTCCCTTCTAGCAGTTAAAACAACCCAGTGGAGTGAACATCTTTGAGGCGGATCCTGGCTTTGTGATAAGAGCCAAGTCAGGACATAGTTAGGGAAGTGAGAGAGAACCTGCAACTCCTAAAACCCGAAGAGCCTCTTTCTGGGCTTTCCGTTACTACGCAGCTCAGGGAGCTGTGTCCCAGGGACCCATAGCCCATCGACAGCTGCCCATAGGTCCATTTCAGGGATTTTGGGACATCTCATCTCTTGCTGTGGGGGAGGGGTGTTAGGGAAACAGCATAACTAGTCCCTGGAAGTGGACAGGGAAGGCTGGAGTACAAATAAAGTACTTTCAGACCTCAACTTTTGGAGAGAGGGATTGGTACAAAGCCACAGGATGCCTATCTCAGGTGACCAAAACTCACTTTGTGAACACTGAGTTTGGTGGGAATGGTTTATCCACTTTCCTGTTCAACCTCCTTTTGTGAAACTTCCAAAGTGTATAAAATTCAGCACAGTCAAAACCAAACTTGAGATCTGTCCTCTCCAAAAGGAGTCTGCTTCCTAAGACCCTTTCTGGAGGGGCAGAGGGTAAATATTTGGACACCCAGTGCCATAAGCCAGAAATCTGGAAGGCATCCTGTGTACCCTGTCTCAGCATCCATAGCTGTACTACCTTCAAGTTCTGAAAATCTTTTCTCCAAGAATCTAGTTGCTTCCCACCATGTCTCCAGCCACTAGCCTGGTTCATTTCCGTCTGCTCACACCTGAACTCTTAGAGTAGGTGCTAACTGGTCCACCCACACCTGCTCTGGTTTACCTAGTGCTTTCTCCATTCTTCTGTCATCCTGGTCTTTCTGGAGCATAACATTTCATGGTCACCTATGTTGTGAAAAGCCAGTGACTTCCAGTTGCTCTTGGATCAGATCTTCGTGTGGCCTGCAAAGCTCTGCACAGCCCAGTCTTGTCTCTTTGCCAGCTTTGCGTTACATGTCATGTTTCATGATATCTGTATCCTAACCATCCCCCAGCTGTTTCTACCCTTTAATGTATCACATTTTTCTCCTGCCTCAGGGCCTTTGCATGCACTGTTTGCTCTGTCTGAGATATTTAGCTCCTTGTTCTCTTTACTGTCTGCCCTTCCATATGAAATGTATTCTACAAGGATATTGAGGAGCCCAAATGGAGTTGGCTGCTCTTTGGTACCCAAGTTGCAAACATTCTGGTGTTAGATATAAATCTGAGGCAGATCCCTGAGTTTTGGGACAGAACTCCTGGCTATATCAGCTCTGTAATGAACACTCATGCTCAGTCTTGCCCAAATGAAACCCAGGTATTGCTCATGTATTAGACTTTTCTAAGGCTGGCTCTCCTGCCATCAGTCCTCCAAAGTTATTTCTGTTATGTTATAGGATTGCAGTATGAGTCCAAGTTTTTCTTTCCTTATCTAAGCAAATGATTTCAGTTTTACTATAATGCTTATTTGATGTGTAAACATAATACTTGAGACTCGGCTTGCCTTATAGCTTATCCTTGCCAGCTAAGGCACCCATATAGTTTCTGGGGTGTGCTCCTACTGGTCCTTTTTCCCCTCCTCCTTGGCATGCAAGGCTACTGTAGGTGCATTGTGATGCATCTTCATGCAGCTGAAGACTACAGGGAGATGTGTTAACATCCTTTTCCGATCACAAGGATAGAGCTTCCCCAGGTGAGCTATCATTGGCATACTAAAAATCTCAGGTTTATGGGGAGCATGAATCAGGTGGCAGTAGTAGTGTAGGCAGCTCTCTGCCTGCCTCCGTAGGTGTGAAGTTATGTTTGCAACTCAGCTCCGTTGAGGGTTCTGAAGTTATCTCTTGCACATCATTTCCTGGAAGCAGATCAATGTACTGAAGACTCTAGTCATTCTGCACCCTTAGGATTTTTCTGGACTCCAGTCTGAGTTATTTTGTTGTTGATACCAGCCTGAGAGAAGCTGGACACCTTTGAGCCACAGCTAGTGTGTTCAAATGATTGCTTTAAGATTTTGTGACTATGTGGTAATAGCCCACTACACTTTCTAACTGAATCTGCAGAGCAAACACGCAGTTAATGGAAAGACATTTTTGTCATTCTTTGGTCTGTGTTTATTTGCAAAAACTAAAATGGGTAAAGTGTTGCCTGCAAGTGGTTCCTTGTGTACTAGGGTGTAAGTCTGCGGGTATGTAGGCTTGCTTAGGGCTTGTCTTGCCCACGTGACAGTTCAGTTCAAGAGCCCCAGAGGGTGAATGCTGGCACTGTGTTGGGAGTCTAGGGATGAAGCCACCGAGGAGTTCTTCTCCTGGTCACCTACAGGGCTTACATAGCTGTGTCTGGGAGCACAGACCCAGGGCCTAGAAAAACAGTGGCGTGGGTGTGTAAGAATCACAAAGAGGTTGCAAGTAGGTCCTAAGCTGTCTCTCCAAGGGGGCCTTCAATTTGACAAGGTGATGAATGATTAGTGCTGGCAGGTTTAAGAAAACAAACACAGCACCAGGCTAAGTGCTGACTTAGTGCCTTGTTGCCTATTCACACCCTCCCCTGAACTTCTGGCACCTGGTGTTTGGAGCTATTTTTGTACCTGTCTTTTCCAACAGACTAGATTGCACGTGACCTCAGGGCAGGGACCACTTCTTATTCCTTCTGAGAGCTGCTTGAACTCTAGGTGATTGTTTCCTTCAGTGAGCATTCTTTAAAGATCCTGACTTTAAAACAAACACACACACACACACACACACACACACACCCCCTCAATATATCCTGACTTTAAAACACACACACACACACACACCTCAATATATCCTGACTTTAAAACACACACACACACCCCTCAATATATCCTGACTTTAAAACACACACACACACACACACAATATACCTATGTGTAAGCTGAGAATGATTCTCTCCTGTCTGCATCCTGAGCAAAGGAGAAAGTTGAAATGCATCAAGCTTGTGGTGTTGCCATCAATACACCATCCTAAAAGGTGGCATGTTAACAATTTAAAAAAAAATGTAACCCTATCCTGTTGAGCTTCAAATGCTATTTGCCTTTCAGTTAAGAGTTTTGAGATGGACAAGGCTAAGACACAAAACTTTAAAACCAGAAGAAAAGAATTGCAAACCTTTGTCTAGAAAAGTAAGATTTTTTTTTTTTTTTAAGAGCAGTATTCCATTAGGGGCACCCTTCCGTAATATATAAAGAGTTTTTGCAAATCAGTATGGCCAGCAATCTGTTAGAAAAGTTTACAAAGGGAAGAAACAGGTTGTAGGTCACAGGAATAAATACACGTGCTTGATAAATACCTGAGAGGGTGCTCACTGTCCTTTAAAGGCCAATTAAAACAAGAGATGACTCTTTATCAGGCATAGATCAGACAGTTAGATAATGTGTGGTGTTGGTGCTACTGCTGGGAAATGCAATTTCTTCTGCTGTTGGGAGAACAAATCCAGAGGGCTTCATTGATGGGTAGTTTGAAATTGTCCATGGACAGTGGATTGGTTGTGCATGTATTCTAATTCAGCACTTCCATTTTTAGGATATTTCTTAATGCTAGCATCACATACATGGGTAGATATGTTCAATATACTTTTTGTGGTTTTTGTAGTTAAAAAGTCAAAACCAGAATGCCCACAACTCAGAGTCTAGATAAATTTATTTAATGGTGTTTCCAAATAATGTATACTATGTACCCATTAAGGAGGGCGAATAAGATAATGGTGGAGGCCTCTGGGGAAGATGTTGAACTTCCTATCTTTTTTTTTTTTTTTTTAACAACTGTTTAAATTTTGTACCATGTGCAAATATTTTTAAAAAATGGTCAGGGCAGGAGGCTCTGATATGAATGCTAATGTGACTAACTTTTTTTGTGCCTCCAGAACCTGACAGTATTATTGAAAAGGCCTCTCACTCGGGCATGATAAACCCCAGCCGGCAGTGGCAGACACTGAAGCAGAACACAGGGGTTGCCCACTTTGAGTATCAGATCCGTGTGACCTGTGATGACTACTACTATGGCTTTGGCTGCAATAAGTTTTGTCGGCCCAGAGACGACTTCTTTGGACACTATGCCTGTGACCAGAATGGCAACAAAACTTGCATGGAAGGCTGGATGGGTCCCGAGTGTAACAAAGGTATGTGTGCATGTGCTAGTTGGGGTGCCCAGCCCTGAAGGCCTGTTGCTTTTGCTGTCCCAGGGATTCTGTTGTAGGTTTCTATTTCAGGCAGGGTGGGATTTTTGCCTGTTACTAGGACTGACGCATGAAGATGCTGAGTGTTGAAGATGCTGTTGGTGCCCTGTTCAGATCCCCTTTACCAGCTGGTGTCCCCATCCCCCAGCTGCTGTGAGTGTTGGCTGCGAACAGCTCACAGCTGCTCCTTCTCCAGGGAATTGTCCTTGGCTAAGCAGGAGCCACTCCATGCCCTGTTCCTGCAGCTCACAGTTACTGAGTGACTGACAGAAGGGGTACAAAGGCCAACCCCTTTCTCCTTAATGCTGTGGTACAAGATTCACACTCCAGAGTTTCCCCTGGGATCATGCTGAAGCCAGACTCCAGCTGAGACCACATCCTGGCTCAACTCCTTCCTCTGCCCCATCTGCCTCCCTCACTGCTCCCTTTCTCCTATACCCGAATCCCCTTCTCAGGCTCTGCTTATGAGGAGCCTGATGCCAAATGGGGTGGACTGGGCTAACCCAGCTAATGGCTACATAGACAATACAGTGGGGAATGACTGCCCCTGAGTTTGGGTAGCCTTGCGGCAAGCTTTCGCTGGGCATCTTTGGGTACTGTTGGCATTGGGGGAAGGAGTTGGGGGGGTTACCCCAAGCTTTCCTACTGGTGTAGGATTGAGCTCACCCAAAGGAGTGTAAGCTTTGAGTCCTTTGCTGTCTCCTGTCTCAGCTCCTTATTCTACAACTCAGTGATTCTAATTCCTAGCAATTTGATGAGGAATTTTAATTGGCTATATGCTGTCCTCTTATGAGCAATAATGTACTCTGTTTATCTTACATGATAATTAGGTAAGTTCTTTCATGATAAACTCATTAAAAAATGTATTTTTGAATTTCAAGGGGTAGGGTATGGGAGGGAATTTGAGGTCTCCTGGGTAATACTGCTTTCTTCAGTAACTGGTGACAAGAGTTTAACATGGATGGCATTTCTGGAATTCAAATGAAAGAAGGAATTGATCAACATTTTAAATAGCTGTTTTAAAAATCAGTAATTACTTAAACTCTAATGTTGGTATTTTTTAATGTCAGTTTAACTTTTCTTTTTTTTAAATGAAGTATAGAATTGCTTTGTGAGGATATTTTACAGAAGCACCAACAGATCTGGCCACTAGATTAGCTGACCAAATAAGCCTGTTAGCCCCATGGAATTGGTGAAACTAGGTATTTGGTAGTGTTTGTTTTGTTTTAGAGGAGGCAGGGACCATCTGAAGTTGCCCTGATAGGACAGAGATGGAGAAGGATTATCCATATCTTTTCTCTCTCTGTGTCTCTCAGTGAGGGTAGGTGTGGGCAGGGTAGGAATTGGCCAGGCAGGGGCTCCAGGAGCAGAGTAGCTATTGTGGAGACTGGATGAGGGCCCCTCCCCCTCCCCCAATCATTTGTCTGCATTATGTCACCAAACAGTATCAGGTTTTGAGTCTCTGCTAGTATGTCCTTGAAGTTTAAAGCTGGATTTGTTACTTGGCCCCTCCCATCTTCCTTCCTTTACAGTGAATTTGATATGAGATCTTTTAAATAGTGGATTTGGTGGGCTTAATGTACTAGGCCATTCTCATGACAATGGTAGTGCAAGACACAGGCAGCAGGCTGACACACCCTTCTGGGGTTTTTTTTGTTTTTTTTTTTTTTGCAGCTATTTGCCGGCAGGGCTGTAGTCCCAAGCATGGGTCTTGCAAACTCCCCGGTGACTGCAGGTAAACTGATTAATCTTTTGTGGTTTCCTTTTGCTTTTTAAAATTTTCCCTTTTAATGCAACAGAGGGACTGGCCTTAATGTGACTATGCTTCTTTTTCTTTGGAGGGCAAGAAAGCTTTAAAGAAAATTCAGACATGCACATCTGAAGCTTATTAAATTATACCAGCTGTCTGGTGGAATGCGCATATATATGTGTGTGTGTGTATATATATATATATATATATATATATATATATATATATACACACACACCACTTCTCTTGAACCAAAAAAAAAAAAACTCTTATGGCCATAGCCTGTGACTTCATGTATTAGCTTTTCTGTAAATTGATAACACAGTTTTGTAATCTTCCCTTAAAGTGCTAATGGACTAGATTTAGGAATGTGGCTTTGTTTCCTTGTGTCTCTCTACCACCAACTTTTCCTCTTTCCTCCCCCATTTTTCCCATCAATAGGAGAAAGTCCAGCATTCTTTAGAATGGGATTAGTACAATCTCCTGGCCCCTTTACAGGCGGGAGCCTGGGCCGGTGCTGAAAGGTTAATGGTTGTGCTGGAATCTGGTCAGTTGAGCCTGATGAATGTAGACTTTTGCTGCTGGCCTTTGAAGTCTGTTCTTTTATGGTCCAGGAACAATGCAGAATCCAAAAGTAGACCTATGACCGCTAACCGATGACTGGTTTTAGGAAGTTCTTGAAGTGTATATTATGCCACTTTGGGAAAGGCTTGTTTGAGGAAATACTCTTGGTGTCTGTGGCATTCTGACAATGTCTCACACTTTACTCTCCCTCCTCCCAGATTTTCAGGATTAGCAGATTTAATGTGACACTAAGTGGATCCTTTGGGCCTGTCATCTTTGCCCCCAAAACTCCTCTGACATGAGCCAAGGGCAGTTTATGAAACAGCGTACCTCAAGTTAATGTGGTACCTGGGACTCTTAGTAAAAGTGCAGGTGCTGACTCCATAGGGCTGGGATGGGCTCAAGTTTCTGCATTTGTAACAAGTTCCCTAGTGAGGGCGCTGTTGCTAGTTGGGACCATCCTTTAAGAATCCTTTAAGAGTGCTAGGATGCACTCGACATGTAATTTCCAGAATTAACAAGGAAACTGTTAAAAATGCAGGTTCCTTGGCTCCACCTCCAACTGAATTCCCATCCCCTGGCTTGGCCCAGGAATCTGCATTTGACAAGGTTGCCACATGACTTCACCGCTTAGTAAATGTGCTGGCTGCTGCTTTAAAGGGAATTACGTGAAGGCTCTACTTTGATTCCATATGCTTTATGTCTTTTCCCATGCAATGAAACTCTGAACTTGAGGCTGATGTAGGATTCAGGGAAGCTGGAAGTACAACGAAAAGCAGGTTGTCTTGAAGTTGTTTCTTCTTAATTTCTAAAAGTTGATTTTTTTTTTTTTCTGGAAGGCTAAGGGAATTCAACCTGTCAACCCCCTGGGTGGCAGCTGACTTTAGTATTTAACAGAGTTCCTGTCAAATTTGAGGCAGGAATCCACCTACGGTAACTCTCACTAATTAAGGGTGTTCTGGAGAAAGTAAGAATGGCAGCGCTATTAGGCAGTGAGAGCTGCTCCCTGCTCAGATGAATATCAGTGAGCTGACCGAGATTTGTGCTACTGTCATCAGAATAAACACCGTGCTGCTCTGGGGAGGGCCCTCCCAGCCAGAACAACAGGCTTTGTTTCCAGAATTTAGCCCTTTCTCTTTCGAAGTCTCACCTCCCACTCCCTGCCCAGACACGCACTGGTGCCCTTATTTACTTAAGGTGCGACTTTCCCACACGGCATTTGCATAGTCTCCCAGCCCAGTTCCTTCTCCCTGCCTTGAAAGAAAATCAAAACAGAACCTTCCAGCTAAGGAAGTTCAGGTTGTGTCCTGCTCCAGAAATAGTTGAATGGCAAGTTACCTGTAAGTTGTCTTTTGAATTATGTATTACACAGGTTTTGTTTTTCTCCTGCACACGAGAAAACTTCACTGGTTTTGTTATTCCCAGGTAGACTCAGGTTGCCTCTTCCTGGGTGCATATGCTTGCTTTATTGCATGCCTGCCAATAACATCAAACTTAATTATGAATCATCATATGAGGAAAGTCACTTCAATTTCTCATGAGAATCTTAATCGTATATTATTAAACTGGGATAACTTCGTGGATGCCTCTTTAAGGGTCAGAATTTTTATTTGTTTTCTTTTGAAGTCATCCACGGCCTCTTGTGGTTGCTTTTTTTATGCTTGGGGATTGAGCTCTCATTAATTAAGAGGTTAGTCTGGGTTCTCAGCTGCCTCTCCTTGCTTTTATTAGGCAAATTGAAGCGGCGTAGCCATCCTTAATTTGGAAGAATAAGGGAAGACAGCAAGAATATTGCTATGTCCCCATCAGTCCTCTCATATTATCTTCCAAGCTAAGAATGTTAGCCTGAGAGAATGGCTTCCCACCCCTCCTACCTCCCACTGACTTGGGTGTCTGCTTTTTAAAAGAATTGTTTCTACCAGATGACTTATTTTGTTCCGATTTTAAATAGTCACTTGTCATTTAGATTGAGGGTCTATTTTAAATAAGCAAAATCCTGTGTCTGATTAATTTTAAACCACACATTCTAGTGGTTCTTTGTATTTGGGTGTGGATGGCTTGTTTTTGGTAGTTAGGAAGTGGTTGGTCAGTACTCTCAGGGGTTAAGTTGATTCTCAGCCGTGGGTGATTAGCTATTAGCTAGATCCCTATAATTTTCCCATGACAAGGATTTGCTTGCTCGCCTCCAGCTCTCTGGAACTGAAAGCCTTCCTTCTGGGGGTTAAGGAGGACGTTTGTTTTCCAGAGTTACAGCTGAGTAGCTTACAGGGTGGTTAGTTCTAATCAAGGCTTTTCCCAAGTCCTACTCTGGAATGGTTTTGCCTGACCCACATTTGCTTGCTTCACCTTCATTACACCATCAGGCTACTTGGTGTTCCTTGCCTTCCCCCGTCCCTTTTGTTAAAGCTTGATTTTTGAGAAGGCAGTTAAAGTTTCAGAGAGCTTGAAACTTGAGGGGAGAGTGGTTTGAGACCATGCCCTCTCTCCCACCCCAGGTGAAGGTTTATGTTTGTGTTTTTGTTTTGGGATCAAAGGCACCATTTGGCCTCAAAAGAGTCTGATGAACAAGGTGCTTATAAAAGAAACTCAACTCCCCCCAAAAGTAGATAAACTAAGCTGACCTTTTTTCTTTTCTCGCTCTGATTTTCAGAGTAAGGCATAACTATAAATTAGCATAAACAGCCATAGCACTGGTTCATAAATTATATGTGGAATTGGTTCCCAATTCTCTTCTCTACCGTCCCCCGAAATGGGCTTAGAGATATTCCCCTGATCTTTGCCAAAGGAAGGTGGCCCATTCCTTCCTGTTTGCTTTTTAATAAAGTAGCATCAGGTCTTTTCACTCTGTACTTGGTGTCTTGTTGAGTTCTGTGCATGGGGGTCATGACTTGCTGTTGAAACAGAGCTGATTAGAGCTTGGGAGTGCAGCATTTGTGGAGACTTTTGCACAGCTATTGTTGTCACCAGAGTCCTTTCCTTCTATGGTCTGTCCCGACTAAGTCCTAGAATTGATTTATTCCAGGCCCCCACCCTCAGTTTATTCATGGGAGTCTGAAAAGAGAGTGGCTTTGTGGAGAGCACCCCATGCAGGCCCCTCCCCAGACAGCCCTTTTGTTGGGAGTCGGCTGGGAAGGGACCTTGGCCCAACTGTTTGTTTATAAGGAGTCTCCAGCAAGCCTTGAAAGTCTGACATCCTATCCCCTGTAACAAAACAGAATTAGGCTGGACTTTGCAGTTCTAAGCATGCAGATCCCCCTTTATGTTCAGAAGACTAACTGGGAGCGTGCTGTCTGTCTGCAGGTGCCAGTATGGCTGGCAGGGCCTGTACTGCGATAAGTGCATCCCGCACCCGGGATGTGTCCATGGCACCTGCAATGAGCCCTGGCAGTGCCTCTGTGAGACCAACTGGGGCGGGCAGCTCTGCGACAAAGGTATGCCCACCAGGGAGGAGCCACAGTGGCAGGTCGTGGCCCTGGGGAGGAATAGATCCTGGGGGTGGGACCGTGGTGATTTGACTTTTACTTTTCTTTCTTTTGTGCTGGGTCTCAGCCCAGGACCTTGAGCATGGCAAGTGCTCTCTCACTGAGCTATGTGCTGGCCATATTAAACCCTTCACAGGGCCTTTTATTTCAGATCTTTTAGAATTTACCTTTAATGCCATGAGGTAGTTTTTGTTTTTGTTTTTTAAGAAGTTTGGGGTTTAGACCCTTGACAGGTAAGCAGCCTATATTCTCTTTGTGACTTTGGAGTCTTTTTGGCAGATCTCAACTACTGTGGGACTCATCAGCCGTGTCTCAATGGGGGAACTTGTAGCAACACGGGTCCTGACAAATATCAGTGCTCCTGCCCTGAGGGATATTCAGGACCCAACTGTGAAATTGGTAAGTGGTCCAGGCTGGGTGAGCTCCCTTTGCTTAATTTTTCTGTACACTCAATTTAAAAAGACTTAGGCACCTATAAAAAGATAAAAATATCCTTTAAAGTTAATATTTGTTGTTCAGCCTTTCCATGGGTTTGTGAAACTTCTTTTGGTACCTAAAGTTTTTTGGGTGATAAAGTTAACATAGGAGGCAACGGGAGATGCAGTGACCCTCAGTTCCAAGATGTGTTAGAATGTGACTAAGGATGGCTTAGCAAGAAAGATGACTTTTTTTTTTTCTGAGATAAGGCAGGGTTACATCACATGTTTACTTTTATTTTTTGGAACATTTTGAGCTGGTGCGGCCAAGACTTGGGACTCAGATGTGGGGGAGGAAGCATAACGTAAAGTAGGAGTCCCTTGCTAACTAATGTCCTGGTTTTTGCAGCTGAGCATGCTTGCCTTTCTGATCCCTGCCACAACAGAGGCAGCTGCAAGGAGACCTCACTGGGGTTTGAGTGCGAGTGTTCTCCAGGGTGGACGGGGCCCACATGCTCTACAAGTAAGTCTGGGCTTTGGTCTTGGTCTGTTCTGGTGGGTCACTGTGAAAATAAAGGGTTGGTGGGAGATACCTGGGTTTGTTCAATATAACTGACAGGTGGGTGCAGTCAGCAGTCTGGTGGCTTATGCTTTTGGAAGTCCCCTAGTACCCCAAGCCTATATGCCAGGGTGGCACATGTGTCTGTGATTGGCAGAAACTTCTCATGAAACAGCTTGTTCCTTTGGCTGTGCACTCTGGAGCCTCTGTCTCCTATCCTGGTTATTCTCCTTTAACCATGGAGAAGCTTTTCCAGGTGAGAATGTCTCTACTGAATGTCACTGGACCCTGAGAGAAGCAACTGGGCTGAAGATTTAGCTTGGCTTTGAGAACCTGGCCGTATGTCAGAACCTCCTGTGGTGCTTTACAGTGTGGAGCTCTCACTGATTCCCTCCAGAATAAGGCAGTCCAGGTTCTTTAATGAGCTCTTGGAATTCTGAGGTGCAGCCAAGCCTGGAAACCACTGTTATGATCACTCTAGAGCAGTACATGACATGGTTAAGGATGTGAGTTCTGGGATCAAATGGCCTAGGCTTGCACTGGGGCCCCTGCCCATCACTTACAAGACAGGGGCAGAAATTATAACCTCTCTGTGCCTGATGTCATGAAGACTGCAAGTTCACAAGCAGAGTGGCACACCATAAATGAATTAGATCTCTACCTATGGTCCAATGTGAATATAGGGGTGTAGCACCTGGTTGTTATTTTTGAGAAAACTCTTGTGACCAAATCAGAAGAATAAGGCTTTCCACCCATAAAGACTTTTCCATACCTTTTCTTTGTGACCTCTGAGCCATGATGAAACTATTTCTTTAAAAGTAGTGATTAAGCAGATATGGCTATCTGGTGTTACCATTGAGTTGATGCTTTGTGAGCCTATAGTCTTCCCCCCTGCTTAAAGGGAGTTAAATGAACTGGGGCACTGCAGGATTTAAAGCTAAAATCTATGTTCCAGCCGTCTCATCACCCCCCTATTACCCTGCTGTAGGTAGGGCAAGCTGTACTTGTAGTTCACTTGTTAGGCTTGTAGGTAAAAGCTCTTCACATTAGGGGCATTATTACATTACTTTATTGCCAAATTGATTGATTTGTTGCCTGCCTTTTGTTATCATTGAATAGACATTGATGACTGCTCTCCAAATAACTGTTCCCACGGGGGCACCTGCCAGGACTTGGTGAATGGATTTAAGTGTGTGTGCCCTCCCCAGTGGACTGGCAAGACATGCCAGTTAGGTAAGAAAATTCTTGTGACTATAATTCCTAAACTAAGGTTGGCTTTTTTAATCAAAGCTGTGAAGAAAGACGAGCATGTGGCCAGTGGTGTAAGTTTGCACTTTACTATCCTAAGAAGTAATTTATTATCGAATCTAGTGGGCCTGGAGAAATAACTCGAATGCAAATGGACTAGCTCTTTTAGGCTCTGTGGGAAAGTCGTGGGACTCCTTGAACCATGTCAATCCTCTGTCCAAGAAGTGTTCAACTGGGTTCCAAACAGGGATGATCTCATGAGGAATGAGCTGTCTGCATTCTTTTTGCCACATTTAAATCCTGGCAACTAGGCTACAGTGGGCTTTGCACAGAAATGCCTAATGGCTTTCTGCTATCCTGTTGGGGACCAGTTGTTAACAAGCAGCTGGAAAGTTATCAATTAGCATTCTTTATTGGATAAACGGCTAGGGAGAGGGCTCAGAAGCTCAAAAAAGAGGGATACTAGTATTTCTTATTTAGCGTGCGTGTTAAAATGTCTCATATTTCAGACCAACTCTATTGGTGTATGGTGTTTCTTTTGGGGGCGGGGGTGCGAGGGGGGAGGCCGAGATGGTAGGAGCTCCCTCCTGACTAACTCCCTTTCTCACTGCTCATCCTTGTTTCCTTTCAGATGCAAATGAATGCGAGGCCAAACCTTGTGTAAATGCCAAATCCTGTAAGAATCTGATTGCCAGTTACTACTGTGATTGTCTTCCAGGCTGGATGGGTCAGAATTGTGACATAAGTGAGTGACTTTGTGTCAATTTTGATGTTCATGAAACTCAGTTGTTGAAGGCTCTTGGCCTAATTTATCCTCCTGCTGCAGTTCTAAGATTTTTTTTTTCTTTTTTTCCCCCATTTTACTGGGGATCCATCTCAGCCTTGTTCATGCTGGGCAAGCATTCTATCACTGAATAGAAGGAAAACCTTATAGCAGGAATGTTTTTGGAGAGGGAGTGATCAGCACAGCAAGGAAAACATACCACTTATCAGGATCATTAGCTGCTAAAACTGGCCATATTCTGATAAGGTGATTAAAACAATGACGTGAAGTTTCACGCCCTCAGCCTGGAAGAACTAGGTGTCCCCATCCAGTGTAATAACCTTATCTCACAGGAAACACAGGGGAAATCTGATTAGAAATTTTCTCTCTCCTGAGCTGAGAAGACTTTCAGTAAAGTCCAATTTCACTGTGAAGTGCCTCTTTAACAGGACTTATTTGTTTTTTAGATATTAATGATTGCCTTGGCCAGTGTCAGAATGATGCCACCTGTCGGGTACGTAAATCTTTGCTTAAATGAAAACCTTGATGATTGATAACAAATTGTAAGATTTGCGGGATGCTGGGAGAGCTTTGTTCCCGCGAGGTTTAAAAATGCAGGTGAAAAGTGAGTCCCTGGAAAGTTGCACTCTGGCTCATGTTACCACCCCAGCCTCCAGAGAGTTATTTTAAAGGCATGCATGCAGAAACTGCTAACCCATGTTGAGAGGCTTGGCACTTGGCAATTTCAGTGAATCAGCTGAACCGCAGCAGTCATGCTGAAGCACTGAAACTCTGTGTTTGTGTAATACATAGAAAAAAAAGCATGTTTCTCCCCCCACTTCTCCTCTTCTAGGATTTGGTTAATGGTTATCGCTGTATCTGTCCACCTGGCTATGCAGGCGATCACTGTGAAAGAGACATCGATGAATGTGCCAGCAACCCCTGTTTGAATGGGGGTCACTGTCAGAATGAAATCAACAGATTCCAGTGTCTGTGTCCCACTGGTTTCTCTGGAAACCTCTGTCAGGTGAGTGGAGGCAAAAACCTCAGATGGCCAAGTTTTTAGGGCAGAGCCTCCTCCGCATTACCCGCTCTCCCCTCTCCCCACTAACTCTTGTGTCTAGTGTCTCATGACATCTGTTAACATCCTATTGACTTGGGAATCTCTGATAGAAAAATGCTGGCAGGAGGAGATACAATACGGATGATTTTCTTCTTAGTACCCATAGCATATCTATTTCGCTTTGTGGTTCATTTCATACCCTCGACTTTTCTCTACCACACTGCCCTTCATTTTTAAATACTTATCTGGACCATGGCAGTCCTTGGGGCATAAAGGTGTGTCATGTACATGCTTTTGGAGGGGTCAGTTTCTTTTGTCTGCTGCCCCAAAGAAGTGACAGTAATGCCTTTGTCTTTGATTCCTCCCCCTCTTCCTTGCTCCTGATAACTTGCAGCTGGACATAGATTATTGTGAGCCCAACCCCTGCCAGAATGGTGCCCAGTGCTACAATCGAGCCAGTGACTATTTCTGCAAGTGCCCTGAGGACTATGAGGGCAAGAACTGCTCACACCTGAAAGACCACTGCCGTACGACCCCTTGTGAAGGTACTTCCCTCCTCCAGGACCTCACTGTCTCTCCAGATCTCCCTTATCCTCTATTTTCCCATCTCTCCTTAATGCTCTTAAAAGTAGTGTGTATTTGAGGAGGACTTGCAGATTGAAACTACTTTATCTGATCACTTAGGAAAACCAGAACACGTGGAAACAATCTATTTAGGCCTGCCAGTGAAAGAACCACATGTACAAGTAGCCCAGGGGAGAGAATGTGAAATCCATTTATCATTCTGGTTCTGGGGTGGGCTGATTTGCAATACTGAGACAAATTCCTCAGAGCAATGCTGTTAGTAGAACTCTGAAACAGTGGGAATGTTCTGTATCTGTGTCAGGTTACGGTAGCCACAGGCCACATGTGCCCTTGGGCATTTAGAATGTCACTAATACAACAAGAAACAATTAATTTTAGTTCATTTAAATACAAATAGTCACACGTGACCCATGGCTGCTATATTAGGTAGCACAACCTTAAAGCTTCTGTAAGTTTCTCCTTTATGCTTGCTTAAGTAAGATTAAGAAGGAAGTAGAGCTGGCCTTTTTTCCTTAGTAGGCATTTGACAAATCAGGTAGATGTTAAAGGAGGGAGACAGAGACTTCAAAAAATTATTTTAAAAATAATTCTTCCCAGCTGGAATCTCACCTTCACCTTCATAGTGTGTCAAGGCATGTTGTTGGAGTCTTAGTCCCCACGGTGCCTTTTGATGTCTTGCCCTTATCAGCCAAAGGGTGCCCCTCTCTAATAAGGCAGGTGTGGCATTAGTCCTTTGCTTAATAACGCTGTGTCTGTGAGTCCATGGCTGTGATCTGATCCTGAGCCTGTCTTACAGTGATTGACAGCTGCACCGTGGCCATGGCATCCAATGACACACCTGAAGGGGTGCGGTATATCTCCTCTAACGTCTGTGGTCCCCACGGGAAGTGCAAAAGCCAGTCTGGTGGCAAATTCACCTGTGACTGTAACAAAGGCTTCACGGGAACGTACTGCCATGAAAGTAAGAACCCTTAAAAAAGGAATAGAGAATGGTGCTCCCCTACCTTGTGACTGCCCAGCTTGGGAAGCATTTGAGTTTGAATTGCTTTAATCAGAAACTAAGGTTGAAGAGACCAGTAAAGGGTCATCATTACATCTGGGATCTGTGACGATGGTTGTGTTCAATTGACCAGATCCCTTGGATGCCCCTGAGCTGCCTGTTTTTTTGGAATGTTCTGGTATCTTACTAATTTGAGCAGTTCCTCTTTTCTATAGAAGTTTCTTCCCCAGGCCCACTCAGTGTGAGAGGCATTAAATAAAATGCGGAAGGCATTATCTGGAAGCCCCTGCTTAATAAGCCACTGAGCTAAGGAGAAACAGTCCTGATGGAGTTTAGAATATTGAAATGCCAAGTGCATTTTTCTCAGGAGGCAGCCATGAAAACCACAGGCGAGTGCTTGGTTGTGGCACTACTTGCCCTTCATTTCCTCATTTCTTTTTCCTTTTTCTTCTTTTACAGATATTAATGACTGTGAGAGCAACCCCTGTAAAAACGGTGGCACTTGTATCGATGGTGTGAACTCCTACAAGTGTATTTGTAGCGATGGCTGGGAGGGGGCCTACTGTGAAACCAGTGAGTCTGTGGTTCTTTTGGGACTAATGCCTCTGGGATGTGGGGAGTAGAGGATCCTGCCTTCCCTTGGGAACCCTTTCTTTGTAATGGAAATATCTGGAAGTAAGGCCTCAGCAGTTTCTGTAGTGGGACCGCATTGCTTGTGTCCTGATTGCATTTATGAAGATTATGGGGAGAACTTCTGGCTTGGGAGCCATAGAACTAGACTGGTAGTTAAGACGACATCCCTGCTTACAAAGAAAGGACTCTTTTCTGTTTTGATTTTAATTTCTGTCCATCTTGATTTTAATTGTCGTGGGAATTCCCAAGGGCTATATCCTTTTTTTTTTTTGTCCAACTTGTGGAATTTAAAGAAGTAGTTTATTCCTTGAAAAGCGTGGTTATCTTAGAACATAGGGAATGGAAAGCAGGAGTTCGATGTAGCCATAGAAAAGCTTAGCTCTTACATGTCATGAATGGATCTGGAATCTTCTTCAGCTGGTGTCTCTTTTGCTTCTAGATATTAATGACTGCAGCCAGAACCCCTGTCACAATGGCGGCACATGTCGAGACCTGGTTAATGACTTTTACTGTGACTGTAAAAATGGGTGGAAAGGAAAGACCTGCCACTCACGTGAGTGTTAGCTGCCTGGGTCCTGGGTCTGCCTGTCTTCTGTGGGAGGAAGACATGCTGATGCTGAAATGTTCTTTTTCCAGGTGACAGCCAATGTGATGAGGCCACATGCAACAATGGTGGCACTTGCTATGATGAAGGGGATGCATTTAAGTGTATATGTCCTGGAGGCTGGGAAGGAACGACCTGTAACATAGGTAACTTTCTGTCCCGGGTGGGATTTTTAGTAGGCATGGCCACATGAACGTGTCTGCTGTTTGGTTTCTGGAGCTTATGATCATTTCCCTCTGTCTAGTTCTTGCTCCTCCAGACACTTTTGGATCCTCAGAGAGGGTGCTCTTGTCTGCTCTTGTCTTATAGCCAGAAACAGTAGCTGCCTGCCCAGTCCCTGCCATAACGGGGGCACCTGTGTGGTCAACGGCGAGTCCTTCACGTGTGTCTGCAAAGAAGGCTGGGAGGGGCCCATCTGCACTCAGAGTGAGTGTCTTTCCCCTTGAACTCTCCCAGGGTTGCTGGAGCATATCCTGATACCCTTGGGGACTTGCAATCGAAACCAGAAGCAGCACTGTTTGATGTCTGCTTTTGTATCACCTGGGTTTGTATTAATGACCTGATGGGATGCAGCCCTGATCTGGGCATGAGAAAGTGGCCCATGAGATAAGTGGAGACAGATGGTGTCTTGGTTCCCAGCTCTGAGCCTGATCAGCAGCCTGCCTCCTTCCATTTTCACACACACCCCAGTCCCCTACCAGGGCCTCTTCCTGTGTACATGTGTCCCACGGCAAATGAAACTGAGTGTGGTACAGGCCTGGTTCCAATTTAGCAGAGGTTTTAAGCATATTTGGCTGGTGTTAACTGTGACTTTGTCATTTTGGGTATTATGGAAATAAGTGATGTTTTTACTTAGGGCCAAGACCCCTTTCCCTGTTGAAGAGCTATCTCAGTATTGTCTTTTCTTTTCAGATACCAATGACTGCAGCCCTCACCCCTGGTAAGTGTGACAACTCTTTTGAGCTGGCACTTGTTGGCTGCAGTATGCATGGGAATCTCCTGGGATTCTGTCTAAAATATGGGTTCTGATTCAGGAGGTCTGGGGTGGGGCTCTGCCTTTCTAACAAGCTCCCTGGTGATGCCTGTCCTGCTGCTCTGTAGACCACACTTTAATTAGCCAGGTTGTATCTTCATTTAGAGCAGTGATTCTCAACCTTGGCTGCACACGGTAATCACCTGGGGAGTTTTTAAAAGTCCCGATGCCTGGGCTATAGCTGAGATCTTAGAAATTAGATTCCCTGGGGGTGGGACCCAGGCATCAGTATTTTTAAAGCACACAGGCAGTGGTGATTAGAGCCAAGGGTGACAGCTTCAGACTGTGACCAGTGATGGCTGGGCAGCTGGAGTTGTGGACCAGGTGGATGATTGTAACTGCGGCTGTCTTTGCTTTCTTCTCAGTTACAACAGTGGCACCTGTGTGGATGGAGATAACTGGTACCGGTGTGAATGTGCCCCGGGTTTTGCTGGGCCTGATTGCAGAATAAGTAAGGACTGCCCCATTTGATTCTTCCCCATGACTTTACTCCCCTATTCTGCTCAGCCTGCTTGTTTTTCATTTTTAAAAATAATTAAGGTCACAGTTACATTTAAGTAGTCCTGACAAAGCTGGTAATTTCTTGTCTCCAGCTGAGATTAAGGTGCCCCTGCCTGGATCCTCCCAGGTATCCACTTGATAGTTCCTTAGGTTGCACAGCCCTTCTTGTTCTTGGGGAGAGTGCCAGCCCCAGAATTTGACGATTAAGCTACACTGAGGCCTTGAGGAAAGTGTGTGCTTTTCCTTGTGACTAACATGAAATTATGGGCGAGCAGATGCTAACCACAGCTGTACTAGGGTAGGACCAAGTTAACGAAGTAGAGGGGGCTGGGACTGTGGCTTCCACAGGCTGATCTGTGATGGGTTTGATCAGAACCCAAAGAAACGATTAAAACAGAAAAGTAAGAACCAGACAGTGCAGTTTATTTTCTTGTGAGATTTTTCCCTACTTTTTTAGGTGCTGTTTCTTACACACACACACACACACACACACACACATATAAATAGTGATACAGCAGTTGCATTATTTTTTATTCTTATCTCAAAATTGTTTAAAATTTTACTGGTACTTGAAATCTCCAAGTCTAGGATTTACTGGACTTCAGCAGTAGGTGGAAATACCTTGTATCTGTTTCAAGCTTCTAAATCAGGGTTTGGCAAAAATGACATCTTGGGGAGGCCCCACCTGGCCCCTTCTGCCTGTTTTGATAAAGTTTGTTTGACTTATAGCCACACTTAACTGGTTTACATCTTATCTTTGGCTACTTTCACAATACCACAACAGAGTCCAGTAGTGTGGTCCATAAAGTCTACATGTTTACTCTGACCCTTTTCAGGAAAAGACTTGCCAGCCTTGCTCTAAATTATATACTGTTGGAGTCAAAGAAACTTATGTAAAAATTGCTGTCTCTCAAAATGGTTCTTAGCTGTTAGAAGTTAGGACAGTGGTGATCTTTGCAGGGTCAGTGACTGGTTGAGACTCTGGGAGATTAATGATCCTTCTTTACTTGGGTACTTTTTACATGAGTGAAAATTCAAGCTTATACTTAGGATTTGAATCCTTTTCTATGTCTATAAAAAAACGTTGCTATCCTCCCTGTTCCCCCATGGAACCTAAACTTGAACTCATTTTCCCTAGACATCAATGAATGCCAGTCTTCACCTTGTGCCTTTGGGGCGACCTGTGTGGATGAGATCAATGGCTATTGGTGTGTCTGCCCCCCTGGACATAGTGGTGCCAAGTGCCAGGAAGGTATGTGTGCCAGGCCTCAGCTGTCCATGTGTCTTCTATTTTTGTTCTTTGAGACAGGGTTTCACTATGTAGTCCAGGCTGGCCTCACATTTGTAATCTTCCTGCCTCCCGAGTACTAGTATTACAGGTATGTGCCACCATGCCCAGCACTGTGTCTTCTGGAGTGGGCATAATGCCCACTAGTTGACTGTTCACAACTGGTCACTGTGCTCAAGGAGGGAATACACAACAGGGGTTGCAGAGAAAGGGAAACACGAGGAGGGGTCTCATTCCTAGTCGCTGTTAACACAACAGTGCTATGTAACAAACTATCTGAAAACTCAGTGGCTTGCAATAAACATTTTTGTTGCTTATGGCAATGCTGGGAGGCAGAGCGGTTGTGCCGTGGGTCTGGTTCTTACCAACTAGCAGCTGTTTCTAAGCATGTTCTTAAGACAAATGTCAGGTACACAAGAAACCGAGCTCAACTGTGAAAGCCTGGTTAAAGAGTCTTTTGCTTCTGCTTACATTGCATTAGCCAAAGCAAGTCATGTGGGCAAGTGAAGAGTCAGCGGGGATGGGAAGTACACGCGCCAGTGTTGTGGGAGGGACTGTTATCACATGGCCGAAGGCACGGGCGTATCTACTTCGTAACAGGGAGGGAGAGTAGTAAGAACCAGGATCTGGCGTACGGAAGAGGAAACTCCTACTCACACATCTCCACCTCTCAGTTTCAGGAAGGCCTTGCATCACCATGGGGAGTGTGATACCAGATGGGGCCAAGTGGGATGAGGACTGTAATGCCTGCCAGTGCCTGAATGGAAGAATCGCCTGTTCCAAGGTAGGATGTGAGAGCTGCTGTGGTTCTGGTATATTCTGGAATTGTGGGTGGATGTTCCTGCTAAGCTGCCAGCTTCTGTTTTCCCCTCTCCAGGTCTGGTGTGGCCCTCGACCTTGCCTACTCCACAAAGGGCACAGTGAGTGCCCTAGTGGTCAGAGCTGCATCCCTATCCTGGATGACCAGTGCTTCGTCCGCCCTTGCACTGGCGTGGGTGAATGTCGGTCGTCTAGCCTTCAGCCGGTGAAGACCAAGTGCACCTCTGATTCCTATTACCAGGATAATTGTGCAAACATCACATTCACCTTTAACAAAGAGATGATGTCCCCGGTATGTGATAACTTCTTTAATGGGAAATGGTGCATGTCGACTTGTCTCAAATGAGTCACAAGCTGGTATCTACTTCTCTTTAACCCAAAGTCCTGTGTTAGAGCAAAATGAGGCTTGAATTCAGCTGGTTTGATAAGAATGTCAGCCCTTTTATTTCAATCTTACATATGTGGATTTTTTTTTTTTTAATTATTTTAGGGTCTTACTACAGAGCACATTTGCAGTGAATTGAGGAATCTGAATATTTTGAAGAATGTTTCTGCTGAATATTCAATCTACATAGCTTGTGAACCTTCCCCTTCAGCAAACAATGAAATACATGTGGCCATTGTGAGTACAAGACCTGTTCATAGCTATTTGGTTGCAAATAGTTATTGCAAGGGAATTAAACTTTGGTTAGCCAGAAAAAGATAAAAAATGTACATGTCATGTAGTTTTGTCCCCCTTAATCAAGTCTGACAATTCTTTTTCCTAGTCCACTGAAGACATACGGGATGACGGAAACCCCATTAAGGAAATCACTGACAAAATAATAGACCTTGTTAGTAAGCGTGATGGAAACAGCTCCCTTATTGCTGCTGTTGCAGAAGTGAGAGTTCAGAGGCGTCCTCTGAAGAACAGAACAGGTAAGTGCCTAGTGGGAATGCTTCCTTTTTCTGATGACTGTCAAATTGATTTTATCACACCATCCATTGTAACCACCAGGTAGGGGATTATTTGACAATGCCTGTGCCTCCAGGAGTCCTTTAGCTGGTGAGAAAATTCAGGCCAGTTTACCTGACCCAACTTATGTGGCCAGTGGTGACAGCTTTCATCTGACCCTTCTTCTCACCAACAAGCTGTGTGGTCTGGCCACAGGCACCCCTGCAGAATAGGTATTGTCTAGATCTATTGTTGAGCCCTAGGGCAGAGTACCACTGCGTTGAGCTAAAAGCTGTGCAAAGCCTGCCTTGGCCTTTTGATGTCATGGTATGGCTGTCCTAAACAACGTGGGCACTTGTTTGGTGGATGGCTTGACTATGTGTCCTTTGCAGGGTGTCCAGGCTTCCTTAAGCGAGCATCATTACTGTAGTGAGGCAAGAAATGGGCACATAACCACGAGGAATTTGAGTTATCTGTACTTGGATAGGGTTCGTGAAAACCAGTCTCAATCCTGAATCCCTTGGATTTAACCAGAAACTGCTCTCCCCGTGTAGAGTTGGAGAGAGTGTAGGAGCTGCCTGGTCTCTGGGGGCAAAAGTGCCAAGGTCTTCAAGGGCCATGATCCTAGCACTTGCTTATCAAGCTGTGAAGTGACAATATACAGTTGTGAAAAGGGATGTGTCCCTACTGTTACCCCTCTTAGGACCGGAGAACCAGTATTGTGGGTTTTTTGTTTTGTTTTTTAATTGGTTCTGTGCCTGCCTTGCAGATTTTCTGGTTCCTTTGCTGAGCTCTGTCTTAACGGTGGCTTGGATCTGTTGCTTGGTGACGGCCTTCTACTGGTGTGTGCGGAAGCGGCGGAAGCCAAGCAGCCACACGCACTCGACCTCTGAGGATAACACCACCAACAACGTGCGGGAGCAGCTGAACCAGATCAAAAACCCCATTGAGAAGCATGGAGCCAGTACAGTCCCAATCAAGGATTACGAGAACAAAAACTCCAAAATGTCGAAAATAAGGACACACAACTCCGAAGTTGAGGAGGATGACATGGATAAACACCAGCAAAAAGCCCGGTTTGCCAAACAGCCGGCATACACGCTGGTAGACAGAGAGGAGAAGCCCCCCAATGGCACACCGACAAAACACCCAAACTGGACAAACAAACAGGACAACAGAGACTTAGAAAGTGCCCAAAGCTTGAACCGGATGGAGTACATCGTATAGCAGACAGCAGGCAGTGCTGCCGCTAGGTAGAGTCTGAGGGCACTTCAGGGCTTGTAGTTTCTTTAGACTGTTGTCATATTTGAGTCTGAGGCTGTTGACTTAGAATCCCTGTGTTAATTTAAGTTTCGACAAGCTGGCTTACACTGGCAATGGTAGTTTCTGTGGTTGGCTGGGAAACTGAGTGCTGCATCTCACAGCTATGCAAAAAACAAGTTGAACGTGCCCGGTGTATGGGTGTGTGTTCCCCTGCAGCTGACACCTTGTGGATCAGGCTTCTGGGACATTGCCCAGCCCCTAATCCTTGAGCTTCCACTCCTGCCAGATGTCCTAATGGTGATGCAGTCTTAGGATCATAGTTTTATTTATATTTATTGACTCTTGAGTTGTTTTTGTATATTGGTTTTATGATGACGTACAAGTAGTTCTGTATTTGAAAGTGCCTTTGCAGCTCAGAACCACAGCAACTATCACAAATGAGTTTATTATTTATTTTTTTTATTGTATTTTTGTTGTTGGGGGAGGGGGGCTTTGATGTCAGCAATTGCTGGTAAAATGAAGAATTTAAAGAGGAAAATGTGTCAAAAGTAGAATTTTTGTATAGTTATGTAAATAATTTTTTTTATTAATCACTGTGTATATTTGATTTATTAACTTAATAATCAAGAGCCTTAAAACATCATTCCTTTTTATTTATATGTATGTGTTTAGGACTGAAGGTTTTTGATAGCATTGTAAGTGTATGGCTTTATTTTTTTGAACTTTATTTTCTCATTACATGTTGCCTATAAGCCAAAATTAAGGTGTTTGAAAACAGTTTATCTTAAAATGACAGGATAGGCTTCTGTGCCTGGGGATACAGATGGAGTTTTTTTTGTACGATGTCAGATGTTAAAACACCTTCTATATAGCATCACTTTAAGACACGTTTTAAGAACTGACTGAGGCAGTTTGAGAATTAGTCTAGAACAGGTTCTTTTTTTTTTTTTCTTTTTCTGTTTCTTTTTTCCTGCTTTAGACTTGAAAAGAGACAGGCAGGTAACCTGCTACAAAGCAGTTTAAGGGAATAAGTTGAGCTATGACTTAATGTAGCCAAGATGTGAGTGGTTGAATATCATTAAAAATATCAAATTAATTGTGTGAAGTTGGAAGCATACCAATCTTATTTTGTAAATTCTGATTTCTTTTCACCATTCGTATGTAATATTGAACCACTTGTAGATTTGATTTTTTTGTTATCTACTGCATTTAGGGAGTATTCTAATAAGCTAGTTGAATACTTGAACCATAAAATGTCCAGTAAGATCACTGTTTAGATTTGCCATAGAGTACACTGCCTGCCTTAAGTGAGGAAATCAAAGTGCTATTAAAGTTTAAGATCAAAAAGGCTTATAAAACAGAGTAATCTTGTTGGTTCACCACTGAGACCGTGAAGATGCTTTGTATTGTCCAATTAGTGTTATATGAACAAAAAAGTGCATCTTTGATGTGTTGTTCTGGCAATAAGTTTTGAAAAGTACTATTTATTAAATTTTTTGTATGAAAACGTGGAACAGCGTGGCCTCTTGTGAGCATATGTAGTTCTCCCCAGTTTTGCTGTGTGCCTTTGTCACCCCACCGGTCTATGCTGGTGATCTATAGCAGGCAGCACCTGGTGGGAGAGGTAAAGTACTGGAAACTTTTTCAGCCACAAAAATCACCTGAAGTTCTCAAACCTTGGGGCCGCTGTAAGCAGGAGCTGTTTTTCAACAGCAAGTGTGAATATTGCTTGAATAAACACCACTGGATTAATGGCCTGTAGTGTGGAGATGAATTGTTTGGGCGCACTCATGGGAAACGCCCATTACCCTAAAGAGGTTTGAAACAATTTAGAATTGTTTAAAATTGGGGGATGAAGAGGGAGATTTAATGCTTTCATTCCTCTCCCTCCTCCACCCCCCACCCCGACTCCCCGCTATTTGGATTAATACTGACATTCTGCCATTTTACAGACCAAACCTTTGTGGCTTTTGTGTATACTTACCAATGGAAGTGTGTCCCCATTGTGCAGTAGGTTGTCTAGAATTAAGACCTATCTACTAATCACCTTGGCTCAGTGACTTGAGCTGCCTCACCATGCAGCCTTGGGATGCTGGGTGTCTGGGCATCCATGAAGTTCCAGGGTTGGACTGTCCACCTGTAGAGGACAAAAGTGCTGTACTTCCCTCTGGCTGCTGGGGGCCACAGGCCAAGATGCGTATTGCTGCCTGCCCCCACATTATGGTATGAGAGAGGAGAAAAGCTTTGTCTCTGGCTCCTGTGTAGCAACAGAGGGATAAGTCACATTAGCTTCCTGCAGCCTTGTGAAGTCACCAGGAGATTCTTGTTTCTAGTTAGGAAGCCAAGCTTACTGTTCTCAGACTGAACCCTGTTGCTTCTACCCCTACCTATCTCTGAATTTCATAGTGTAACTCCAGCTAGTACAAACAAACTTTTGAGTGAAAGATGGGCATGCATTTTTCTTGGGAAACTATCTTTTTTCTAGCTAGCTAGGAATTGTCAGATGGGAAACTGCTTAATAATGGATGATGGGCTTTAAGTGCCCCTGATTCCTTGTATATGAGCAGAGGTCATCAAGGGATTCAGTCTGCAACAGCCCTAAGAGCCACCAACAGTGTGTTTTGGCTTATTGAGGCAGCCTAAAGGACCTGGACAGCGATGAGTCTAGATTCCCATGACATCTCCCTGCCTTGGTGTAGAAACACTTTGTCATTAATCTCTGGTAGTAGACAGATGGTTTCTGCAAGGTTGGGGGAGGGAGAAGTAGGACTCTATAAGCATGGCAACAGTTCAGTTTAGAAGTTCTGGGTTCAAACACCACTCCGAAGCAATACCTTGTTCTAGTGGTTTATAAACTTGGATCCTGCAGGACCCCAGAATTCCTTGGGAAATTGCCAAATAGTTTTGTGCCAAGAAAAAGTTTAATAAGCTCCTGCAATTCCTCATTCCAGGAGGGAAGGGATCTTGAAATTCATGGGTGTTGTCTTAATGAGCTTTCTGTCCAGGATACTCTTAGTAGTGGGAGGTCATAGATCAGGCTCCTCTGGGCCCTGCTCAAAGCCAGGATCTTAATTGTGAAGAGAAGAGGAAGAGGACAATGGAATCATGGTTATCCTGGGGTCAGGGGACTACAGCTGATTATTTTAGGATGGAAAACCCTATCCTGAGAGTCTAGACTTTCACAGTGTACAATCAGAATAGAAAAGGGAGGAAAAATCTTAACTAAAAACCAAGTGAGAATGATCCACAAGCATAATTTGCCAGTGACTTTTTTCTTAAATGTAGATTCCCTGGTATAGCCCAAGACTATTGGAATAGACTGCAAATCTGCATTTCAACAAGTTCTCTCTCTTGTCCCTTCCTTCTCAGGTTCTAACAGTAAAATTTGAGAACAACTCTGCTAAAAGTACTAAAGTCCAAGCTGTTCATTAATTATAATGTTTTTCCTACTTGTTAACCGGAATTAAATAGCCTGGAAGCCAGTTTGTTGCTAAATTGCCACCTGACATCATTTTTAAGTAAAATAATTATGCTGCCCCTTGAGCAAGTTGTGGTCTAAATGCTTCATCTTTATTAGCTGATCTGAAGGGTCAGTGAGTCAAAGTTAACTTAGTAAAGTTTCTTCAGCAGTAAAGAACCACAGCGTGGGTTTTCCACCTTTCTAAATGCCTTATACCTATCCCACAATGCACATGTGTGCAACTAAACACCAGTTGCCTTTAAGGAAGAACTACAGGCCTACAGGGGAACAAACCCCTGTAGGGGCTGTGCAATGCTCTACCGTTTCTGTTTGGGCTGTGGCTTTCTTTCTTGCCTCTACTGGGAATGAGAAACGAGTTCAGAGGTTCTTGATCTGGAAAGACACAAAGCACATGGGTTATGGGAAGCCTCCTCTTGCTAATGTGTATTTATACTTTGTAAGCTCTGATTCATCCAAGCATTGGAACAGAAATCTGCTTCCTGAGGTTCTGTTTTTAAATAGATGGTTTGCAAAAACAACAATTACTTTTCTTAACATTTTTTTTCCACCCCACAAGCAGCTAAACATCCCGGCTCAGACTCTGACAGTCTCTTAACAGTGCCAACAAACAGCTTAGTTATCTGAGGTGGAAGAGAGCCTCAAGGCAGTTCTTTAGGGTTCTGGCCCCAGAAGTCTTCAAAACAAAAGTTTAGAAACCATCAGGGCAATCTTATTGCATCACTTAAAATTCATGAGATATTTCTGGGCATATTACAAGTAACGAATTCTCCTTGGAGAACAACTGCCTTCCAATGGTTGTGAAGAGTATGAACAAGTTGGTGTGGGGGAGTGATGATGCAGCTATATGGTTGCCTGGCATCAGAGGGGCCAAAACACCTGCATGGCATCCTCTGAGATTGTGTCAAAAGGGCGCGGCTCCCTCACTTTGGACATACATTCTACCTGTGTTACTTGCTCTTGCATGCTGGGCACAACCTTCCTGGCATAGAGTGTATTTCTTTCAAGTCCAAAGCAGCTTTTACAAGTCTCAAATTATGTATCATTATGCATGGGTCCAGTATTAACCTGCGATATGCAAGTCAAGAAAATTAACTTGGAGTAAAGGCTCTTAAATCCAGTAAGACATTGAATGGAAGTCTGACCACAGCCTCCCCAGATCCACCCTCTTCCCCCATCCTATTCTCTCCCCAAGTCTACCCACTAAGAATATCCAAACCAGGGCACCCAAGGGTTGAATTATTCACAGCAAATACTGGTACCAGCAAACAAAGCTGAAAGTAACAGGTTTGTTTTAAAGAGAAACTCTCCTGGCAGGGCCAGTGGGCTCATTCATGATCCTAGAGGGAAATACAAGCTTGCAGCTGGCTTCCTAATGACTACTCATGCAACCAAACGGATGTGCCCTCTCACTATTTTGCACCTCAAGAGTGAAAAGCTGCTACGTTTCATCCTTGCTGAGATACGTGAAGTTGAAAAGCCTTCATCTCAGATTAAATAAATGTTAAAGAAACTGGGGATCCTCCCCACCAAAGGATCTAATCCATCCATATTTTCCCAGAAGGGGAAACTGAGGCCTACAGAGATTCAGAGGTTTGCTCATACTGGTAGCAACAGCCAGGGCTAGAACTTGGGGTTCTCATTTCCTGAGCATTTTTTATTCCTGCTTCATTGGGGAATTTGCCAATATTCTACATTGGATGTGATTTTCAAAGGTAAAGCACTGGGAGATCAGCACTAAATGAAAACCAATGCCAAGACTCAAGGGAGGCTGCTAGGAACGACAGCAAAAACAATGTAACCCGTCTGAGCTACTTTTGCCTAGAAAGTGTCATCTTTAAAAATCAGGAGCAGGAGGTGTTTTCTAAATCCTAGGCAGATTTAAGTGCCATTCCTTTGTAGGTTGTTCCTTTGTTCTTGGAAAGTTTCAGATTTCCTTTGTAGATTCTGCTTCATAGATTCAGAAAGTGAATCACAGGAAAGGGGTTCAGAAAGGAAATCAACAGTAGCCCTAGGTTCTGCTCCTCCCTTACTGTGCACATATGCACTTTATGGGCATTCTCAGGACTGCTGTGCTGCTCTCTGGGTCTGAGATTCAGTTGCAAGAGTTCTGTCCTGTGTGAGGCGACTGTAGTTACAATTAGGCCCCATCCCACGTTGTCTGACTACACCCCGTCCCTGGCAAGTTCCTTTCAGTTACCACAGAAAAATCACCTGAGCATTAAAATTACTAAAGTCTAAGCTGTTTGAATGTGCCAAAGGTCACCACATCCAATATGCAGTAGGGCTACCACAGACACATCTAGGAGTTCCTTAAACCACCTGTAGACAGCTCTGTTTCTTCCAACACTCTAAAAAGACTACTAAAAGACTACTCCCCTACTGTCGCCCTACCCAGCACTGATGGATCAGAAACAATCCCACAAGTCATTGTTAACCTGTTTGTCATGCCAGGGTAGGTCAGAATTATGTAGAAGTTTCCTCTGCATTGAGGTACTCACACTTAATGACTTGGACAAGTCCCATTTTGGAGACAGAAAAAGCCTCCAAGTTTAAGCCCTTCAAGGCCTTGCAGTGATGTTTTTTTGAAGTACTTTTCAGAGAACGCAAGGCACAAAGCAGAAGGAAGAGCAAAAAATGTGAAACAGCATATAGGTCTGCATAAAATCAAGGAAAAGTGCCTCTGGGGCAAAGGAAAGAAAGCAGGAAGGAGCTGGGAGGGGAAGAAGGTTAGGCCTCACCACAACTTTGGGTTTTCTCCACACCCATACCCCATTATTTCTACACTTCCTTTGAGTTCTCAATTGAACAGTGCTGGCTGTAGTGCAGTTACAAGGTCCTGAGCATTCCCTCCAGGGTGTATTGCCACATGGACCTGTCAGTTGCTTTACTGTTACTTTTACCCTCTTGGTGTGCAAAGTTAGGCCATGTGGTGGATGGTCAACAGCATGCACTTTGGAGCCAGGTGTCCCAGCTTTTCCTTCCCAACTCCTGGTTTTGAATTTTCTCTCACTATATCCTAACAAAAGTTTCTGGGCTTTGGGTCTGGAGAGACATGGGAAAGTTTCCAAAATTTTTTGTGCCCAGGGTTTCCGCATCTGTTATGAAAACAGTGAGCATGTGCCATGTATTCATGTAGGAAGAAGAATGTTGCTATTAGTATTTTCTCTAAACAACTTGCAATATAAGAATGTATTAAAAGATTAAGGAATTCAGCTAGAGTCTGATGTAATGGCAGTCTCTTTTCTCCCCAATAAATGGGTCTTCTGTCAGAGAAGAGCTAATGGCTGTTAGATCTAGTCACAGGCAGAATTCTACATGGCCCCCAAAGATTCCTGGTCCTTGGTTATTCCCTAAAACAATAATATATGCACCGCAGTGACGGGATTTTGCAG